TAGACACATACAATCTACTGAGACTAAATCATGAAGAAATAGTGTTTGAATAGGCCTGTAACTAGTAAGGAGATTGAATCATTAATCAAAAATCTCCCAACAAGGAAAACTCCAGGACCAGATGGCTTTATGAGTGAATTCTACCGAACATTTAAAGAATAGTTAATACCAATTCTTCTCAAATGCTTCCAAAAAAATTGAAGAGGATGGAACATTCCAAACTTATTTTATGCTGCCAGCATTACCCTGATAGTAAAGCCAGACAAGGACACTGCAATAAAGAAAGTTACAGGCCGATATCCCTGATGAACATACATGCAAAAATTCTCAACAAAATACTAGTGAACTGAATTTAACAGCACATTAAAAGGGTCATACACCATGATCAAGCGGGATTTACCCCTGGGATGTAAGGATGGTTTAACATCCTTACATTGTTGATGTGTATACAAATCAATGTAATACATCATGTCAACAGAATGAAAGATAAAAATCATATCTCAATAGATGTAGAAAAGGAATTTTACAAAATTTAACATCGTTTCATGATAAAAACCCTCAACAAATTATGTATAGAAAGAATGTACCATAACATTAAAGGTCAAGTATGACAAGCCCACAGCTAAAATGCTCAGTGGTGAAGAGCTAAAAGCTTTTCCTTTAAGATCAGGAACAAGACCAGGATGCCCGTTCTCACCAATTCCATTCAACATAACCACTGGAAGACCTAGCCAGGTCACTTAGGTAGGTAAAAGAAATAAAATGCATCCAAATTGGGAAGGAAGAGGTAATATTATTTGTTTGCAGATGATGTGATCTTACATATAGGAAACCCTAAAGATTGCACCAAAGTACTGTTAGAACTAATAAGTGAATTTTTAGTAAAATTGCAGGATACAAAATCAACATACAAAAATCAGTTGTGTTTCAGTATACAATCAATGAACTATCTGTCTGAAAGAGAAGAAAACAATCCCGTTTACAGTAACAGCAAAAACAATAAAATACTTACAATAAAAAACATAACCAAGTCAGTGAAAGACCTGTATACTGAAAACTATGAGAAATTGATGAAATAATTGAAGACACAAATGCAAGGATATTGCATGTCCTTTGATTGGAAGAATCAATATAGTTAAAATGTCCGTACTACCCAAAGTGATCCACGGATTCAGTGCAATCCCTATCAAAATTAGTGGCATTTTTTTTTTCAAAGAAAAAGAACAAAACCTCCTAAAAATTTGTATGGAGTCACAAAAGACCCAAATAGCCAAAACAATCTTAAGCAGGAAGAACAAAGCTGTAGGCATCACACTTTCTGATTTCAAATTATATTACAAAGCTAAAGTAATCAAAACAGTATTATAGTGGCATAAAAACATACACATAAACCAGTGGAATTGAGTTCAGGAATAAGCCCACACATTAACATTCAGCTAATTTCTGACAAGACACCAAGAGCACGCCATTGGGAAAAGATTGTCTCCTCAATAAATGGTGCTGGAAAAACTTGTTATTCGTATGCAAAAGAATAAAACTGGACCTCTGTCTTCTACCTCTCAACAAAAATTAACTCAGAATGCATTAAAGATTTAAATGTGACAGATGAAACCATAAAGCTTTTTGACATTGGTCGTAGCATTGATTTTTTTTTTAATATGATACCAAAGCACAGAAAACAAAACCAAAAATAAGTAGGACAACATCAAACTAAGAAGCTGAACAGCAAAGGAAACAACCGGCTAAGTGAAAGGCAGCCTATGGAATGTCAGAAAATATTTGCAAGCTATGTATTTGATAAAGGGTTAATATCTAAAATATATAAGGATCTCATTGAACTCAATAGCAAAAGAATAATCTGGTTTAAAAATTGGCAAAGAACCTGAATAGATATTTTTCCAAAGAAGACATACAAATGGCCATCAGGTATATGAAAAGATGCTCAACATCACTAATTAACAGGAAAATACAAACCAAAACCACAATGAGATATCACTTCACACTTTTTAGGATGGCTATTATCAAGTAGACAAGTGTTGACAAGGATGTGGAGAAAAGGGAACCCTTTTACACTGTTCTTGGGATTGTTAAATTGGTATAGCCATACAGGAAACTGGAGGTTCTACCGTAGAAATACCATGTAGTCTGGCAGTCTCACTTCTGGATATAGAGCTAAATGAAATGAAATCAGTATCTCGAGATATCTGCACTCCCATGCTCATTAGAGAAATATATTGGGTTGTCGGGAAAGTCATGACACATTTTTGCATTGAAAAACAGAAAAATATATCATGACTTACCCGACGACCCAATAGAAATATTCACAATAGCCAAAGTGTGGAAACAACAGTAAGTGCCTATTGATGGATGAATAGGTAAAGAAGATGTACACACACACACACACACACACACACTGGAATGTTATTTAGCTGTTTTAGTTTTAGTATTAAATTTAAAAATCCTGCCATTTGGGATAACATGGGTGAATCTGGAGGGCATTATGTTAAATGAGTTAAGCCAAATGGAAAGACACATATTGCATGGTATCACTTATATATGGTATCTAAAAAAACAAGTTGAACTCATAGGAAAAAAATAAATAGGTGAGTCGATGGATGCATTAATTAATTGTAATCATTAAGTGTATGCACATATCAAATCATCCTGTTGTACACTTCAAATATACAACTTTATTTGTCAATTATACCTCGATGAAGCCATGGTGGGAGGAACCAAAATATGGCATCAGTGCCTCAGTCTTAATTATTCTAGCATTAAAATAAGTCTTGATATTCTTAGTGGGGTAAAGAAAGATACCCCACTATGATACTTTTTTTCTTTCTTTCTCCCTAGAGTATCATGGCTCTTCCTGTTTTTTCCTCTTGTATTTAATTAAATTGCTGTATAAATTTTTTAAAAATGGCTTATCCTATTTCCAAGAAAGGGTAAAAAAAACCTGTAGGGGTTTTGATTGGACTTGCATTAAATCCATAGTTTACTAATGGGAGAATTGACATCTTTACCATTTTTTTAAGTCATTAATGTTTTTTAATATAGTTTAATTTCCTCAATAGCGTTTTTGCAAATATTGGGTACATTTATTTCCAGGTAATTTATTTTCTGTTGTTAGGTCTCCTTTTTTTTTTGTTAAATATTTTTAATATTTGTTGCTGGTGTATAAAAATGCAGTTGTCTCATAATTATTGATCTAGCAACTTGGCTATATTCTGTTATTCTGTAATTTATCCGCAAGTTCTTTTGGATTTCTCAATAATCAGCCATCAGTTGCATAATATTAGGATTTTGCTTTTTCCTTTCCAGTCCTCTCCCCACACCCCCACCCTCTTTAGCTTTCTGCAATGGCTAGGACTCTGCACATTGGTAACAGTGGTTATGATGGCTCTGTTGTGCCTGCAGGGTCCTTCACCATGTGGCTCTAAGACCTCATCTGCAGCTCCTTTCTTGGTTCACTTGTTCTATCTAATCATGCTTGTCTCCTTGCTGTGCTCCAAATAACACCAGGCACGCTCCTACCTCAAGGCCTTAGCATTTTTTATTCCATCAGCTGGAATGTGCTTTCTTTAGATGCCTGCCAGACTCACTTCCTTTAGATCTTCACTCTAATATCACCTTTTCAGTGTGGCCTTCCTTAGCTATCCTGTCTTTAAAAAACAGACAACTTTATTGCAGTGTGTTTTACATATCATGTAATTTGCCCATTTCAAATATCCAATTCAGTAGTTTTTTGTAGATTTGCTGTGTTGTGCAATCATTTTCATTAATCAGTTTTAGAACATTTCATCACCTTAATAATATCCCTGTGCCCATTTACTGCTAATCTGTGTTCTAACCCCTGCCCTGGGCAACCACTGGTCTACTGTCTCCATAGATGTACCTGCTCTAGACATTTCATATAAATGGCATCATCCGGGAGTCTCTCGTGTCTGCTTCTTTCAGTTAGCATGATATTTTGGGATTCATCCATGCTATAATATGAATCAGTACTTTGTTTCTTTTTATGGCTGAATAATATCCCATGTGTAATGTTACCACATTTTGTTTATTCATTCATTGGTTGATGGACATTCAATAGTTTCCACTTTGGGACTATTATGAATAATGATCCTAGCCACCTTATCTTAAAGAATAATCCTTCTTTTATTCTCCTACAATATACTTACGGTTCTTCCCTACTTTGTTTTCTCCTCCTTAGCCCTCTCCAGCGTACCACACGGTTTAGTTAATCTTGTTGATTGCTTGTCTCCTTCACTAGAATATAAGTTCCAGAAGAGCAGAGATCTTTGTTCCACATTGATCACCATTATACATTATGACCTGGCACTGTGTCGGGCATATCTTAAACAATCAGTAAACGTTTGCTAAATCAGTAAAGGAAAAAGTGAATGGATGAATTGGATGTTGACTATACACGGTACTAAAATATTTTATGATTTAAGGTGACTTGGTGTTTCAAGAATATTACTATTTTTAACCTCTTCTATGACAATTTGGGATATTTCAGGGTACTTTCTAGAGATTGCTAATAGTGGTAGGGTTTTCATCCTGAATGACTTTTTGCTTATATTATGTCAGTGTTATACTTACTCTGACACTGTAGTATGGGGTTCTGGGCATGTCATCACATTCAGTATAAATACATCGATCTATTCTGGAAAGGGAGCTTGTCAGAAAGCACAATATCCTGCTTGTTTCTTTGATGCTTACTTTCTGTATATTTCTCTATATTTGGATTCTTTGTCTTGCTTAGACAACAAGCTAACTTGGATATTAGATTGGAAAGTACTTGAAGACAAGATGTTGCTGGAATTTCTTTTACAAGTAGTTTTATTTTGCAATGAAATGCCTCACAATAAACAAAAAAATTTGGTTTACCTACTTCCAATTTATGTGATTTTTGTCTGAAGTGTTTCTCTCTTGTGCTTGCTTAGCTAGTGATTTTGTCTTCAAAAGTTTTTAACTGTCAACTATTTTTGATGCAGATAAATACAGAGGAACATGTGGATGCAACCGATCAGGAGGTTATCTTATGGGATCGTAAAATTCCTGAGGACATCCTGAAGGAAATAGCCACCCCTAAAGAGGTACCAGCGGAAAGTGTTACTGTCTGGATTGACCCACTTGATGCTACACAGGAATATACAGGTAATTTTAAAACTAAAATTGATCTCAAGCTTTAGACTGCTATTATGTATTGGAGAACCAGAATTAAGGCAGGCAGTGTGTATGTGGTGGTAAATATTTTACCAAGCTAAGACATCTTTTCTACTTAGATTTTTTGAGACAGAGAGCTGGATTAATGCAGTGTCATGTGAACCATTTGACACTGGATAGGTTATTATCAGTGTTCCCTCCCCCCGCCCCCCCCCAAAAAAACTGCTGTATTTATGCCTTACTCCTTTTGTCCCAAGCCAGCTCCCAACCAATGTGCCACTCGGCCGGCCCTATGCCTTACTCTTGGTGATAGTGGCTTACTATGTCACTGATTCTTCAGTGAAGGAAAGTTTTTAACAGTTACAACAAAATGGTTCCTACTTGACACCTGTTTATTGAGGTGTTTATTTATACAGAGGGTGCCAACAAAATGTATACACATTTTAAGAAAGGAAAAAAGTGTATTAAAATTGTAATACTCAATATATACCAACAACAAAAGATGAAATACAAGTCACATTTGACTTCTGCAATTACAAGAGGTGCTCAGAGTGGTTACCATCAGTGTAATTTTAATACAGTTTTTTCTTTCTTAAAATGTGTATACATTTTTTGGCACCCTCTGTATATTGAGGTATGTGTTATTGAGGTGTTTGTTTATGTAGCTACAATACAATACCTGTGAATAGTGGGAATTTCAATTTTATTGCATATGCATCTACCATGGAAATTCAAAATAATAAACTGTAGACACCAAGAGAGCAAGTAAGTAGCAAGACAGGAATTACCACCCCATCCCCTTTTTTCATTCTTTTACCTAGTCCTAGCTCAGATGTCATTGCTGTGGACCCTCTCCCATGTCTTGTTTTTTACCTAGAGTTATTTAATCCCTTCCTTTTCTCTTTTTCTTGGTATATAATGTTAAACTTGGTTGCTTCTAGATGTTAAGTTCACTGAATGTAGGGGCTTCTACTTTTTTACCTTTGTATTCCAGTGCTTAAGCACTGGATTTGTACCTTAATGGACAACAGGTAATAATTATTTGGAGAACAGGGCAAAGACACTAGGTGTGTATATCTAATAGCAACTGAAATTATAAAATAATATTTTTCTATTAAGATAATAGGAATACAGAATATTGAGGAGTTTGTTTATAAAAAGTTTTCCCTAAACAGAGATTGGCCTGATCATATAATAGTGATAGTATTTATTGAACACATCCCCTGTGCAGGAACTATTCTAACTATTTAACTTGATTTTTAAATTTAATACTAAAATTAAAAATTATTTTAATTCATACCTAAAGATGGGTACTTAGTGTCCATATTTTACAGATGAGGAAACTGAATTGAAATAATTTTCCCAAAGACACGCAGATAATTAAGTGGTAAGCTGGGAGAATAACCCAGTTAATTTGCTTATAAAACTAAAACTCACCCACTTCCTTAAACTGGCTGTCCTTGCCAGACTGTTGCTTGAGGGGGTTGTTGACTAAGAAAGACATTTCATGTACATACATTTTTAATGAAATAAAGTATAACATTGTATCCTGAATTTATATACAATTCATGTGTTTTGTTTGTTGGTTGGTTTTTTTCAGAGGATCTTCGAAAGTATGTCACTACTATGGTTTGTGTGGCTGTAAATGGTAAACCTGTGCTAGGAGTAATACATAAGCCATTTTCTGAATATACAGGTAAGAAATATGTTAAGAGTAAGAATTAATATTATTAAATCATTTGTCTGTAGTACTTACCATCCTGTCAGTCTCAGCTGTAGCTCAGTAATTATTAGAGTCAGTCCCCTACCCTACCTTACCCCTTCACTGGATACAGTGAGGATTTTATTGTTGGACTCGTAATACATGACAAAGCAGGGCCTTCTAAACTTTGTTTAGAGGATAGAGACTGTTTAATGAAGATGAGATTCTTAGTGTATTGAGGAATACAGCTGGTTGCAGATGCCCCAGCAGCTGAGGTCCTCTCTGTTTCATGCTGTTGCTGGGCATAAGGTTCCCTGCCCCCATCCCCCCAAGGGTTTGACCTGTAAGTTGCATAAGTCACTTTAGCTCACATTCCATTGATCAAAACAGCTAGAACCCAGCTGCAAGAGAGGCTAAGAAGTTTAGTCTTTATTTTCAGTGGCCATTCAAGCTAAAATTCAGGGATTCTGTCACTTGGGAAATAGGGAAAGTATTGGGTTGTTGGAAAAGTCATGACGCATTTTTGCAACGAAAAACATAGAAAAATATGTCATGAATTTTCCGACAACCCAATAGATATTGGAGTATAGTTTACCAGCACTGCTACACTTGTATAGCTCGGGATGGAGAGACACGATTAGTATCAGTATTCCCACTTACAGGTGAAAAAGTATGACTCAGAAATTTGGTATTCCTTATGCTCATCCAGCTAAATTAGTAGAGAAATCAACCCAGGAATTTTATACAAATTAGTAAATCACACCATTTTTATAATAATAACTTCATGATTCTTAATATTAGTATGATATTTAATAATTTGCAATATATTTAACATCTCATTTGAACCTTTCAGTAGATAGTTCTGTGTGACAAGGAAAAATGTTTTTTTTTTACAGATCATAAAAAGGGCTTAGCTCTTAACCATGAAAACCATACAGTTCAAAATGTTATTGTAAGAGCTAACCACTCCTTATTCATATCTCACATTTGTTTAGTATTTTCAGTTTATGAAGTGTACTGACATAAATTCACTTCAGCCCCAAAACAACTCTAGAAAGAATATAAAACAGGAATTGTAATGACTTTTTAATAAAAAAGAGGACAGGCATATAAAAGTTGAGCAATCCTGAGGCTTTAGCCTTTGATGCCCTCTCATTCTCTTGATAATGTCCTCTCATTGCCTCTTCTGTACCAGTTAGGATTGCATTTAGCTGCATATAAAGTAAATCTAATTACAGTGGTCAAACAAATAAGGGCTTTATTTTTCTCACCTAATAAGATGGCCAAAGAGTAGGGTTTGTTCAGTGGCTCTACGATACTGTTAAGCACCTGACTTGTCTCGTTTGCTTTTTTTCTTAGAAGATGGCTTTTTGTTTGCATGATCACAAAAACGGGTGCTTCCAGTTACCATGGGTCTATTCTAGACAGGAAGAAAGAGAAAAGAGACAAAAGATCTCTGCCAGCTATTCTTTATATTAACTTGAAGCCCTCTGCTTCTTCTCATTGGCCAGATAGCACATGTGGCCACTCTTAGCTGCAAACAGAGCCTACTACTGCAAAGAGAGTTAGAACCATAATAAAGAAAATGCGGAGGAAATTGATATCGGATAGACAAATGGATTCACATTCGGGCCCTAGTTTCCGTATCTGTTCATTTTAACAGGGGAAATTGGGGTAATAAAATGCCCATTTAAAAAAATCTTTATTCCATAAGTATATGTATGATAAGGTTTACCTTTCTTAGAATAAAAAAGCTAAGTCTCTTAACTTAGGGACAAGTCTTGTTCCAAAAATGTCTTTGTAAATTACTAACAAAATTGTTCTTCTGTGATGCAGCTGACTTGCCCAGCAAGCTTGAACATAAGGTGCTTGCTTGCTAGTCAGCAAACATTCCAGAAGAATCGGTAAGTCCTTAATTAGGTGTGGGTTGACCCTCTATTCCTGGATCAAAGGTTTGTTTGGCTTGTGCCCTCTTCTTGGACTGTTATTTTTAGATCCAGGCTATATTGATGTTTACAGAGCACCAGCTGTCAAATATTGTCTGTGTACCAGAAATTTAGCTGCAATTGACTATAATGAATGGGAGTTAGAGACTATTGTTGTTGGCAGCAGTTAGAGCAAAACTGATCAGAATTCTCATCAGATTTAACTAGAATTCACCGAGTTTAAAATTCTTAGAAGCAAGAGATGCTTGAATAGTATTTTAGTGAAATAATGTATAAGTGTAGTAGATCCACTCTGAAATTTTGTAGCTATTAAAAATAAGTTATAATGTCTAAAGTCTTAGCAAAGTATTAATGACATTTATTTCCTACTGGACTTTTTTTTTTTTTTAGCATATAGAGAGAGTAAACATTTGTTAACTGTTAATTTACTGTATCACCATTACCTCATCATCCATCATTAATATTTAAGCACCTACTGTATTTTTTAAGGTGATTGAAATAGTCTTGTCCATGTAAGTGTTGTGACCGAATGTATTGAGTTTATGGAACATGAAATATATTTTTTAGAGTATTAAATTAGTATTTCTTATCTAAAATTATTCTGGCACTATCTACTGAGATATGCTGTCTGAATTTTCTTACACAACACTGACCTCTAGAGATAAAGCACTGTAAATTCACTTCTTAGTAATACTATTTTTTTTTATTATTTCTAAAAAGAATTTAGAGGATTTTAATTTTTTCCTTCCATTTCTTTTTCTTAAACTTTTATTGTGAATAATTCCAAACAAACATAAAATTATAAAGAATTACCATATATAGTACTGCGCCCCCCACCCCCCCGCCATATTACAGCTTTGTGTTCTATGGTTTCAGTTTACTGAAGTCAACCACAGTCCGAAATGAAAATTTCAGAAAATTTCAGAACTCATTTCTTTACCAGCTTTCAAGTGAGAAGTTGGGGTGAACACTGTCTCCAGTGAAAACAAATGTTATTTTGGCAGGGGAGAGCAGGCTTTCTCTTTCTTTTTTTTTTTTTGTATAACCTTATGATCGCATAGATTTTTATATATTCCATGTGATTCAAACTACCGTTATTTTTGAAGTTAAATTTGTTTTTTTTGTTGTTGTTGCTCACTTCTAATACCTTAATACGTATCACTTTATGGTCCTTTTCTTAAGCTATTACCTGCTGGTTCTCTCCTATGAGCAACGATTAAGTCACCTTATTTTAACCTCTTTGACCACCACTCCATTTTAGTCAATCATATCTTTTTTTATGTTTGTATTTCTACTCTCCTATTTAGCTCTTCAGATTTAAATGGTGTCTTTTGACTCTCACCAGTCAGCTATGAGATAATATTGATTTTTTTTTTTTTTTTTTTTTTTTTAT